TCAGAGGAGGGAGGCGCTCTTCATCCAGTACAAGGCCAGTCTTTCACCTGAACTGAGCTGCTTTCCAGGGATGCTCCATCTCTGTAACTCCTAGCAGCCTACCCTCCTGTTTCCAAACAGCATTCGGCTCTATTTTCTGACCTCCTGTGGAAGGTTTCGGTCGCTTTTACCCCCGAGCCCAGACATACCCACTTTCCCTGCTCTCCTTCTTCCCGCATGGTTACGTAACCATTTAAAAGTACATTTTCAGTTTTTACATTATTAAAATCAAGTAAATATTCACAGTTGAGAACACCAAGTGTATACGTGATAACACTTTCCTGTGTAACTTCTCAGTTTTCTGGAGTTACTCTTTACCTCATTCCTTCATCCCCAGACGAACTATAAAAATTGCCATCTCCTCCCCATTTTTTCAGAGACATCAGGTCATCCAGCCTTTTTGGTTGTTTATTTAGACCCCCGATTGCCCCCTTGGAGCCCCATCTCTGGAGACTTCCCGGCCCGTGCTGTTGTCTGGAGAAGCAATTCTCACCATCCCCTGAGAACTCCCCGGGCTTCCTTCTGTGCTGGCTCCCAGTCTTCTCGATCTTGGTTTATTTACTCCCTTGTTTTGTTGGTGCTCATCTCCCAAGAGTTTCCTGGGAAGATGCACGCGAGGGTGGTAAACTTTCCTAGGCCAAGCAGGTGTGAAAATACCTTTATTTTGCCCTCACACTTGATTGATAGTCTAACCGGGTAGAAAATTATGGGTTGGAGAGCGTTTCCCTCAGAAGTGGCTCAGCGTTACTGTGGCCTCCTCCTTCTCCTCAGGAGTGTAGTTGGCTGAGTGACGGCCCTCAGAGATGTCTAGGTCCTCATCCCTGGCACCTGTAAGTGTCACGTTATCAGGGAAAAGGGTCTTTGCAGATATGACGAAGTGAAGGATCTTGACATGGGGAGGTGATCCTGGATTATCCGGGGGCTCTAAATGCCATCGCAGGTGTCCTCAGAAGGGAGATGCAGGAGGTTAGACACACACTGCGGTTCTAGAAGGCCAAGTGATGACAGAGGCAGAGACTGGAGTGATGTGGCCATAAGCAGAGGCATTCCAGCAGCACCGGAAGCTGGAGGAGGAAAGGAAAGACACTCCCCTGCAGCCTCCGGAGTGGATATGACCCTGCCTGCACCTCGATTTGGGCCCAGTGAAACCGATGCTGAACTCTGGCCTCCAGAACTAAAAGAGAATGCATTTTGGCCGTTTTAAGCCACCCACTCTGTGATACAGGAAGTTAACGGGATCCCCCTGATCTCATTTCCAGGCAGGACTTTGGGCATCGTGCTGGGGCTCAAAGGGTCCTCACAGCCACAAGTGCACGAGGTGCAGGAGGTGATGCTGGATGACTCTGCCCTGCTCCCCCCCGGGGGGCTGGGGGTGGGCTCCCCGGACTCAGCCTCTTATTTTCTTACCTTTTCTCCTATTTGCCATATGTCAGTCTTTTTGTTATGCTTTCTGGGTGATGTCCTCCACTGTCTTCTAATTCTTCTATTTATTATGTTTAAAAATGTCTGCAATGCTATTTTTAATTCCCTAGAGCTCTTTCTCATTGCCTTTTTAAAATAGCTGCCACCTCGCAGTGCTATAGCTTCTCTTACTTCTCTGAGATTAATTATAGTGTTTTTTTTCTGAGTATCTGCTCTCTCTCTTACTTTCTCCTCAGAGTTCCATGTTTTTATTCCCAATTTGTTTTGGTGAATTTTTTTGGCTCTGTCCTCAAACATCTGGTGATTTTGGCTGTCCCTTCATACTGAAGCCAATTGGAAAGCCTGGGCACGGTGGGGCTTATGGACCAGTTGTCCTCACCTTGAGAGGAGGCTGCAGGCCACCCCTTTCTTTGGGTGCCGACTACGTGTCTGTAGCCACAGGACATCCGTCCTGGGCGGGTGGTTTCCTAGAGAGGAGCCCTCAGGGTGCTCCCTAGCCATCAGCCTGGGAACCACTTCGTGGTAGCCGAGGGCTTTGCCATCTCCCCTGCTGTCTGCAGCGCCGTCTGGTGCCCTGTCTGCTGCCTCTCCCCTGGCTGGGCCTCGTGGCCACAGTGGAGCCTTTCCAGGAACCCAAACTCTCGTCTTCTGAAAGGCACCAGTGCCTGGCAGTCAGGAGCGGGGCCCTGGATGCCCATAACCGGTCCACCTGGCTCTGACACTTCCTAGCAGCGTGCTCTTGGGCACATGACTCCACCTGTCCTGCCTGCGCCTCAGTTTCCATGGCTCTAGACCTGGGAACTCAGGTGAATCGTCGCAGGGGTCGCTGCGAGGATGCAGCCAGTGACTGCACTGGACTCAGCAGGGCTGAGGCTGTTTGCTGTTCCTGTGGTTCTGCTGGGGTGTGGTGCGGAGATGGGTCTGGGGCTCTTACTCCCTTAGACTGTAACTAGCCTTCAGTTTGCAGCCCCACTGTCCAGCTGACCCACTAAGTTCTGAACTTCCCGGGAGCCTCTGCAACTCGAATTTGCTCACTCAGTGGGTTCCTCCGCGTGCTCTCCACCCCCCACCCCAGTCATTGCCACTTGTCCACATGCTGTGCCTCGTTCAGTTTTAGGGGCCTCTCTCATCTGCTGCCCTTGGCTTTCCCATTTGTCCTTGGGGGTTTGTGCTCTTTTTAAAAAGATCCTTTTACCGATGTTTTAGTGGGATTTCAGAAGGGTAGAAATGAACCCCTGTGTTCGATCCATACATTTCACCAGACCTAGTTCTTACTGTAAAATGTGAAGCAAATATGTCAACATAGTGACATCAGTTTATTCTGAGTTCCTGGGTCTTATATATATTGCTAGCTGTATTGTCTGTATTTTTCAAATGTTTCATAAAGAAAAGAAAAAGGGAGGAAGGAATGAAGGGAGGGAGGGAGGGAGGGAGGGACGGACCCTCGATCCTAGTACCCTCTAGGATCGTCTAGGATCCTCAAGTGCTCATCCTGCATTTCTCCTCTTCTTACTTGAACATTAAGTTAAGACGTCCTTGTCCAGACATTGGGGAGTTTACAGCAGAGACCTCCTCACCTCCCACTAACTCACTTTTACCTCTACCCGCTCTGAGCCACCGCTGAGGCCACCAGTGAGCCCTCTGCTGTCAAATCCCATGTCTGTTTTTTTCACTCCTTATCAGAGCTCTGCCACCTTAGACATTGACATTCCTCAGAGCCCTGGCCCTCACCATGTGCCCACGGCCCTGGCTGGTCCCTGGGTGTCCCTCGGCTCATCCTGGCCAGTGGGTGTTTCTGGCCGCCCCATCCATCCCTCCTGCCCTCATGTCCCCAGCAGGATGTGGCTCCCAGACCTCCCTCTCCTGCTCAGAGTTCTCCTTCAACATCAGACTCACGTCCAGCAGCCTGTTTGGACTCCCCAGCTGGAGAGCTTGCAGTTAATTCAAGCTCATCAGGGTCAAAATTGAACTTGCCAGCCGCTACCTACATCCGCTTCTGTGTTCCTTAACTTGGCATTGCCACTGTTCACCCCTTCCTTTAAAACAGGAGCCAAGAGCCACCCTTACCTGTGGCCTCTTTACCCCTCGTAGAACAGGTGCTGGAGGAGTACTTCCGGCATGTTTCTTGCCTACATTAGAACATCTTCCTTGTTTTTCTTCCACCTCTAGTCTTTCCTCCTCAAATTCGTCTTCCTCAGAACAGTCAGAGTGGTCCCTCTAAATTGCAAATCCCTCCTCCCCTGCCTAGTTTCCTGGGTCACATCCCCTGACATTGAGGGTAAGTCTGCGCCCCTTGCTGTGCATGCAGGCTCGTGACCTGGAGTCTAGGTGTCTGTGCTTGGTCTCCTGGGCATCCTCACTCCCTGCCTCTGGCCTCAGTGGACATTTGCCAGGCTGTTTGCTCCTTTGTCTTTGCTCCCCCTGTCCCCACACCTGAACCATCTCCCTCCTTCCTCCTTGTCCTTTGATTCGTCCCTGGTGTGTTTCTTCAGGAGGTCTTCCTGCTGGCTCTGCCCTCTCTCCATGCAGCCATGTGTTGGCATTGGCACTGTTCACAGGCTCGTTTTTGCTGCCACCCACTCGGCCTTTCCTGGCCCAGAGGGGGTGCTGATCACAGTCCTAAATAGCTCCGTGCTCTGAAGGCCCCCGCTTGGCCTGCTTCAGGATGAGCGGGTGAGAAGCGGGGGGGGGGGGGGGGTGTTTTTTTTTTTTTTTTTTTTTTTTTTTTTTTGCGGTACGCGGGCCTCTCACTGTTGTGGCCTCTCCCGTTGCGGAGC